TCGAAGGCAGACAGTCATATAGCTAAGAGGTGTCAGGTGGAAGCTGGCTGTGGACCTCTTCTTCCTCCACTCATCTCCTCACACCACCAGCTGTAGTGGTTGGATCTCAGTGCTCTCCAGAAGCCCAAACGCTAAAAGCTTTGTGGCCAATCTGTGGCATTTCTGGGAGATAGCAGAAGAGATGAGGCATGCTGGAAGGGAGTTGTGTCACTGGGCACATGCTCTGGAAGGGGATATGGGAACATTGGTTCCTTCTCTCTTGGTTTTTTGGCTACCATGAGATGAACAGCTTTGTTCTTTCAAGGATTCTCCACCTGAAATTCTTCCTCACCACAGACCCAGAACCAATGGAACTGCCCACCACATACCGAAACCCCTGAAACCAAAATGCTTTCATTCTCGTAGGCTGAGTTTCTCAGGTATTTTGTCACATTAATGAAAATCTGAACAACTGGAGCCAAGCTCATGCAATGCTCCCATCCTTTCCTCCCAGCAAGGCATACATAATGATCCATCCTCAGGAGACTGGACCACTCAGGAAAAAAATGCTACAGAAGCAGGAAGGCATCTCCATGACTTCCACCCCGTCCCAGGAACTGCAGAGGTGGCAAACCTTGTTTACACATACCAAGAACTATCAACAGCTGTTTACTAAGTGAGTGTCAGATATCTGTGGAAAAAACTATCCTAGACTTGGTGAAAACAGAATAATGTATCAAGAACAGAAGGAGTTTCCAAAACTTAGTATAAAAAACTTCAGAGTTATGAACAATGTGCCATATATAAAGCAAGAATTGCATGAATATTTTTAAAAGGGCCATCTGGAAATGTTCTCTGAGGTTAAAAATTATAGCAATAATAAAATTCAGGAGAAACATTAAAGATAAAATTCAGCAAGTTTCTTGGAAACTGTAAGGGGAAAAGACAGCTAGGAAAGGACAGGAGAGGGAGGGAGGAAAAGAAAGTGAAAGACGGTTTTAAGAGACTCAGCACCTGAGATTCAGCTTAATAAATTCCAGGGACAGACCATACAAAAAGACTGGATAAACTGGCAAAGTACATTTCCATAGATTGAAGGAAGTTTTTTAACTGTAACAGTCCACTGTTTGCACAACATAAAATGAGTTTTAGAAAAGGCCCATCTAATGTACAGCAGCACTAATTTTAGGATAATTCACAGAAAGACAAGATCTAAATAGCTTTCATAGAAAATAAATCACACAAAAAGGTTAAGAATCAGACTGCATCAATTTTTAAATGGCAACTTCAGAAACTAGAATATAGTGGAATAAAACCTTCAGTCCCTTCCTAGGAAAAATAATTATGGACTTAGAAAGCTATGACAAGCTAAAGTATAATTAAACACGAAGGCACACTGAAACACACTTCAGAAAAGCAAGCCACTGAAGGACACAGTCCAGGAAGATGGAGGGTAAACCAACGTGGATGATAACACGCAGTCTCAGAAGGGCCATAGCACAGAGAAGAAAGTTTCCAGGAGCACACATACATAAGTTTTCAGGATGACGTCTGCTTCGGTTCGCTTCTCCATTGCCATCACAAAACACTCTGACCATTACCAACTTGGGGAGGAAAGTTCAGCTTACATCTCCTGGGTCACAGCTCATCACAGAGGGAGCCCAAGATAGGAACCCAGGGCAGGAACCTGGAGACAGGAGCTGGAGCACAGGCCATGGAGGAACTCTGCTTACTGGCTTGCTCCCCAGGCCCTTGCTCAGCCCGCTTTCTTATGCAACACAGGACCATCTGCCCAGGGGTGGCACCACCCACAGTGGGCTGGGCCCTCCCACATCACTCAACAATCAAGAAGATGCCCCATGGACATGGCCACAGGCCAGTCTAATGAAGGAAATTCCCCAGTTGAGGCTCCCTCTACCCAGGTGTGTCAAGTTGACAACTAAAGCTGTCCAGCACAACATCATTAGGAAGCAAGTCTAGAAACCAGCCAAGTCAGCCCAGAGCCCAGTTCTAATCAGAGCTCCAGGAAGGGTATCTTAAAAAAAAAAAAGGCAGAGAAAAAGCAAAAAAAAAAAAAAAAAAAAAAAAACTAAAGGAACAAAAAGAACATGTGTGTGTGGATGAAGGTGGTAAGAGACTCAAATGTTCTGGGTCACTGGGGAATTAGGCATAAGAATAAGTTTTAAAAGGCCAGAAAATTTTGTCTATTTTATGCATTGCTACTTCCCTAAGCTTAAAACAATGGTGAGGAAACTTTATAAATAGTTGAACAAATAAACAAGTACATAGAAAATGAAGGTTCTGCTTTATCAAGAAATTTAAATTGGCATTGTATAAGCTGTCTGGACGGAAGCAGATGTTGTGACACTATGAAATCATCTGGCTAACTCATCCATAACTTCCTGTGTGTGTTTCATGGTGGGGACATTTAATATACACATTCTTGGTAAGTTTCAAGAATATAATATATGTATTATTTTATAAGCTTACTTAAGATACATATGTGTGTGCATATGTATAAATAAAATGCTTTCAAAAATCCAAGTGCAAGGCAAGGAAATCTCCCTTTAAGATGCTGGTCAGGGTGGTCCAAGAGACTCCGAAACAATATAGGCTATTGCCACAGCCCTTGATGGCCTCCCAGAACTTAATGGTAAGACCCTATTGCTGAAGACACCACATACTTCAGAAACAGGACTCGGAAAAAACCACGCTGGAACGGACCTTGAAGCCTCCTCCCCGAGGACTAGCTCTCATAGTATTCGAAGGTGCTTTGAAAGCTGTCAAAGAAGAAAAGCAATCAACAGTCCTACCCAGCTATAGAGCCTACGAACCATAATGATGACCAGCCTAGGAAAAAATCCCTAATACTGCAATAGCAGCACTTTAATCTTGGGGGTAATCAACAGCTGTCTGTTTGAACTTAGGGTTCCCTCAGTGGGAGAGAATTCTTACCTGGTACTGTAAACACAGCCAAGTACACGAGGCTGGAGAGCCATAGAGAAGCACCTACTGCCTCCGCTTTCCTAAACTAATGCAGCTTCTTCCTACATTCTGAATTCTGATCCTTACAGCCACAGATCAGTGTGGCTCTCACCACTCATCAAAGAAGCTTCTCTTCGCAACAAAGGAGACTATTCTAAAGTTCCACAACTGGCCAAAATGTGAGGAATAAGGGAACATAGGGTGGGTAGCCCCAATCATACATCTACAAGTCAACCCTACACTTAAGTCTCAGGAAGCACTGAGGAAGAGGGCGGCGGAAACATTGCAGGAGCCAGAAGACCAGGAAGCCTGCTGCTGGATAGTGCCTTCTAGACATGACAGGGAAGCTGAAGCCATGACATTTCAATAAGGTGGTGTAAACAAGACCTGCATAACGACAACACCAGTTGACATGCCAATATGGATGAGGACAATTTCGTAGGATCCCACCTCTAGATGAAGAGCTACAGGCAATCAATGGATGCTGAGGGATGGAGCATCTGTTTTCTCCTGGGACCAGTTCCTGATGGGTTATTCAATCCCAATTAGTCATCCCTAAACACATGAACATACAAGTACCACTAGACAGACTCAGTGGATCGTGTGTGTGTGTGTGTGTGTGTGTGTGTGTGTGTGTGTAACAATAATAAAGAAAAGACCTCATGGAATTTAGAGTGGGAGTTGTGGGGGCACGGGAACAGGTGGAAGGGGACAGGGGAGGCATGGACATGATGTAAATACAGTACTCATGCATGAAATTCTCTCTCAAATAATACAATATATGAACTTCAGAATTTCTTTAAAAAGTCTACCTGTGGGCTCCTGTAACACCCAAAACAACTTACCATACAGTCTTATTTCTAGAGGGAAGAACCAGGGCACACTGAAACAAAACCAAAGCCCAGCACCATAACTCAATGTCTGACATCTGGGATTCACTCACAATCTTCTGGACTCTAAAGGGCTCAGACAGCTCCATTTCTCTGGCTCTATCATCCACAACACACACAACCTGTCTTGTAGGCTCAGGTAGGTTCCATTTCATACCTGTTGCTGCCTTTGATCCTGGCATCTCCAACATATCTGGGATTTTCACTGCAGCTCAAGCTGCACCTTCACCAGTGACCTCTCCTGACTTCACACGGTGCCAAGCCTCAGCTTCTCTCCATGTCCCCTTCAATTCTGCAGCCTTGATGCTGCCAAACTAATACATATGGGGAGACTTAAACACATTACCAAGTCCAGGTTTTAGCTTGAGATGCAGTCTTGGCTCCTTCTGGACCACAGTGTCTGTGTGCTGACCCTGTGGAAATACTTCCCAGAAGATTTCCCCTTCATGATGCTGGTCTCTTATTAATCATACCAGATTTTTCAGCTCCAGTTGACCAGCATCAATTGTCCTAGTAAACCACAAAAGGTTTCACTTCCACAACTTCTTAAATGAAATATACGACATGAAGAGCTCAGAATCTTTGAGGACTCTCACGCTCCCCCTGAACTTCACAACCAGACCACCATTGCTGCGTTTCTTTCAGCACACTTCTCTGTTGGCTCCCACAGAACAGCCCACTAAGCTCTAAGCATTCAATTTTTCCAGCCCAAAGTTCGAAGCACTTCCACAATAGTCCCCAAGACACATGGTCAAGCCTTCACAGTAGTGCTCCATGATCCCGGTACCAAGGCTAGTCCGAGATACATGGGACCTTCCTTCATAAAACCATCATCACCTGGGGCTGGAGAGATGGCTCAGTGGTTAAGGGCATTGACTGCTCTTGCAGAGAACCCGGGTTCGATTGTCAGCACTCATGTGGTGGCTATGAACCGTCCTTAACTCCAGTTCCAGGGGAATCCGAAGCCCTCTTCTGACCTCTGTGGCATTTCATGACACGGGCGCACTCACATACATGCAGGCAATACACTCATACACCCCATCATCACCAACAATAGAAAAAAAAAAAAAAAGCTAATGAGGAATTTAAAGGTACACATCTAAACATGCAGACCCTTGATGCTTGCCAGCCCCAGCCCTTGGTTACCTTGGTCCAGAGTCACTCCTACTCATATCCAGACTGAGCTCTTCAGGTTCTCTTGACTTAAATTCAGCTTGAGTTCTTAACCTGGAAAAATAAATGTAAGAGAATGTCTAATCCTAAGGAACCTGATAGGTTTAGTATTTAATCTTTGGAAAACCACGCTCTCCCAAGTAGACTCCAGCAATTATTTGTACAAGCTCAATCTGTCAAACATTAATGGGAGGGCTGGTGGTAGTATGTGGTTAGCATGCATAAAGACCACAGGTGTTCATGCATAAACACACTAACACACAGAGAACAGTTCCTAAAATACACATAAACAAGTCAGTTAACAGGATCTTAAGTTTTCTTTACAGGAAGTGTGTGGACAGATTGAGTTGGTTAGAACACAATTTAAAAACTCAGTATTATAGATGCTTTAGGAGTACTTTAAATCTCTGCTCTAGAAGATGAAAGCTTCCTTCTATGCACTGGTAAGAAAGTCTCATGGAGTTACATTTTCAGCTGCTGTGATAAAACACCAAGCAAAAGCAGCCTAAGGGAGAAAGAAATTATTTTGGCTCACAGTTCGAGCACACAGTCCATAGTCTGAGGGTACAGCCCATCATAGCAGCAAGGTCCTGGCCAGGAGGGCACTGGTCACGTGGCATCCACGAGCAGGAAGCAGAGGGAGGGATGCAGCTCAGGTAGCTTTCTCTTTTGGATGTGGTTGAGAAGCCAAGCTCAGGTAAATGTGCTGCCCCCATCAAGGGTAGGCCTTCCCACCTCAATTAGCCTAATCACGGTAATCGCTCTTTGGCTGCCTAGACACTAACATAATTTAAACAACCACTCAAAGGTGTGCCTGTTGGCTCTACTCAGAGGTGATTCTAGATCCTATCAAATCAACAATTAACATCAACCATCACATTTTTCTTTGTTGTGACAACATACCCAGAAAACAAATTAGCGGAGGTGTTTTTGTTTTTTTGACCCCTAGTTTCCCAGGTTTCAGTTTATGGTAGGCTGGCTCCATGTCTGTGGCCTGATGTGAGGCAGAAGAGCATGGCAAAAGAAAACTGCTCACCTCAGGTCAGCCTGGAAGCAGAAAATGGCAGGAAATACCCATTAAAGGCACATCCTGGTGATTTCCCCCTCCCAGCAGGCCCCACCTCCTAATGATGCCATCAAGTTATGAATCTATTCATGGATTTAATGGGCAAGATGAATTCACTGATGGACTGTTGGGTTAATCCATTGGCTCAGTTACTTGATCAGATAAATGTCCTCATGATCCAATCACTTCCCACAAACTCCATCATCTCTGAACACTGGTTTGATTGACCAAACCTTCTACACGTGAGTATTTGGGGGAGCGTAACCAAACCACTCAAGTCACCATGATCATGAAGACTCTAGCAACTCTCAAGTATTAGTGATTCTATAAAACATATTAAGATGTACCAAACTTCTCATACTGACATTTCAAAGACCTGGGGTTCAGGGACCAACATATTTTCTTTAGGCCACAGACAAAAAAGAGTTGGAAGGCATGCTATCTATTAAGGTTAAGTAGAACCACATTCAGGCTGCTGAAAAAAATCAGTACAAAGATCTTCTATCTAGAGTTTAGGTACTAATTGCTGATCCCAAATGTGTGATGCTTACTACCCATTCTTTCAGTTTTTCAGAATGTTCTCTGGGTATCCATACAAGCATATTCCTTAACTATGAAATAAAACCATGAAGAGGTAAAAGCACCATTAACATAGTATTCATTAATGTCAAAATGACAGTTTAGGGCCAGACGTGGTGGTACACACCTTTGATCCCAGCACCAGGGAGGCAGAGACAGGCAGATCTCACAGTTTTTAGCTGCCATGTCGGTGCCGGGATTGGAACCCGGGTCTTCTGCAAGAACAACCAGTGTTCTTAACCACTGAGCCATCTTTCCAGCCCCAGTGGAACACTGTTAAGGACAGACAGGAGAGGCCAGGGGGATGATCAAACTTGACAAAAGTACTTGAGAAATCACACAATCTGAACAAAACCAAGAGTCATAGTACCCACATGCCTCAGGGACTACAGCAGAAGACTTTATTTTTATGTCCTTGGAGTTATCAGACTCAAAAAGTGTTAAGGGAAGAAAACCCAACAACTTCCTAAATTTGGCAATCTTTGTGGTGATAAAACAGTTCTGAATTTTTACTGTGGTGATTCTGGATATATACACAGGTGATAAGATGGCAGCATATAGCTACATACATTGTACTATTAATTTACTGGTTATGATACTGTGTTATAGTTATGCAACATGTAGCCATTGGAAGAAACCTGGTGAAGGTTGTATGGAACTTCCATGTAATAATTTTAAAACTTCTCATGAACCTATAATTATTTCAAAGTAAAGTTGTAAAAAATTACTACAAATATGTATAATCTAAAAATACATACTTATATAAGACCTCTTCAAAAGCTGTGTTTCTTACCTCTCCTTTCTAAGCTAGGATGATAGAGAAACAATACAGGCTTTTTAAAAATCATTATGCAGCATTATTTGAATACAACTATACAAATGGACATGATACCTAGTCTAAAATTATTTGTTCTTCCCAATAGACTGTGTGCCCTCTTCAAAATAAAGACCACATTTGATTAATTTTTTTTAATCCTAGCCACCTAAAACTATTCCTCACAATCATAAGCATTCAATAAATGATTCTTAACTATACAAAGTAGAGGATTAAAGGCTGAGGTCATAAAAATAAAGCAATCATTCACACTTTGGTAACATTCTTATTGCTTCATTTTCACTTACATTAAAAGCCTCTCGGTTTCACCAATGATTATGACCAACTGATTATATTATATGATTCAACAATGATTATGACCAACTGATTATGGTGATATAGCTTTACTGAATTTTGTAGGGAAGAGAAAAAGAAAGATACCTTCTGGTTCCAAGAAAGTAGGTATTAAACAGAAGGAAAAACATCAGAATGGAACTTTCAAATAAATCAGAATTTGAACACTACCACACTAAGCAAAATGTGTAAGTAAAAACCGCAGTGACTGTGCTGACACGAGACGTGGATCTCATAAGAATCTATACGATGGGGCGGAAGGTAACAAGGAACAGAAGCTTCACCGTAGGAAAACGTGTGTGCATTATTTTTAAGAGTACATCACATTTTATGATGTTAAATACAAGTAGGTCTGCTTTGCTAATCATTTTCTTAAATACATTAAAACAGCAAACTTTATGAGTCTGAATGCAGAAACATATTGAATAGTATATATTATCAGAATGGCAATTTTGCTTTTGAAACACTGTTCTAAGGAGCTAAGTATTAAAGGAAGAACAGTCTGGGGTTGGGGATGTTTCTAAATGGTAGAATACTTGCCTCCCTGGCACAAGGTCCTGGGTCTCAGTCCCAGCACCAAGAAAACTAAACAACACAAGGGGAGGGTATAGGAGAATACGCTCAGCTCACAACAGATACTAATATAAAAATGTCCTTATGTGACACAGTACCTTGTATAATGAATATACATGATGACAACTTTAAAAATAGTACTTCGGCATAAAATGCATTTTTAATAGGAAAAAAAATAAAAACAAAAAGTTTAAAAGTGGTTAAGCTCATTAGAACTTGTTCTTAGGCAGTAAGGATTAAATGTAAATGGTTCCCATGATTTGCAATGTTTCAAACTATGGTAGGCAGACATGAATGTAGAACGAGTGTAACTAATCAAACTTTTTCACAATTTGATTCCACACCCTGAAATGTTATGATTTACCTTAAAACCTAATATTCTCCATGGTGATGTGAAATGGCAAAGTACATGATCTTTGAATCCAAGAGAAGCTGTCCCTGGGCCTGGGAAGACTGTCCTGTGAACAGTTTGCTGCACACATGTGAGGACCTGAGTTCAAATCCTCAGATGGGCACAGCTATATATGCCTATAACCCCAGCATCCATGGGGGTGGAGGCCATTGGTCCCTGGGAGCTCAATGGCCAGTCAGTCAAGCTGAAACATTCAGCTTCCAGTTCAGTGAGAGCCTCTCTTAAAGGAGTAAAGTGGAGAAGGGTAGAAGCTCTGAGAACAGAGGCTTGTAAAGGTTACCACGACAAAGCTCTGACCTACAGACACTGCTGAACGAACAGGCAGGACTCACCAGTTGTAATCTAATCGAGACTGGTGCAGCTGCTGCTGTTTGAGGAGAAGCAGGGTCTCCTGCTGGGCCAACAGATGCTGAAGACGTTCCCTTTCAATTTCTAGTTCCATTTTCTGAAGCATCAGTTGCTGCCTTCGATCTTCTGAGAGTTTTGTTTTGAGATCAATGCCACTAGGCTGCAGTATCCCTCTACCGTGTGTGAGAGATGTCCAAGAAGGCCCACAATGACTGCAAGATTCTGGATATTCCCTGGAATACTGAGGGGCCATGTCTGCAGGATGATGGCTCTCATGAACATGGTCTTCACTTTCAGAACATCTAGGACAACACTGATTTGATGGAGCAGGCTGCAGGGGTGGACATTTCTTTATTGTTAACTCTTCTGGTGGAGCTTTCTCTCCAGGGGCTGTGTCTGTTGGTTTCCTCCCTGGAGATGGCATTCTCTCTAAACTCTTTTTGGGTTGATGAACTGCTATTGGTTTCAAAGAATTATTCCTGAATGCCCTAACAGGTTCTGAGGCGGAGTCCTGGTTTGTAGACTTTGGCCTTTCCTTGGTTTGACAGGAGGTTTGTGGTTTGGCTACACTCAAGTAGGAACCATCTAGGTCCACCAAAGAAGACTGAAGAGTGTTTTTCCTGTTTGTTGTCTACAAAGAAACAAAGAAAAACAAGTTTTATTGTTTGGCTTTTCAGAAACCAATGTTATACGTTCGCTACAACAAAACTCTTACTTCCTTTTCTTAGAAATTAGATGATAGTGTCCTGATAGTATTACCATAGCGACACATGCACCACAAAGCCACATCCGTTTTCAAACAACCTACTTTCAGCAAATCTATATACAGATTAGAAGAATAGTGTTAAGCAAATCTTTGGTGATTTCAGGAGTTGCAAATCACAAAGACTGCATAAAATCAACTTTTTAAAGAAGATGCAAACACATCAAATATTAATATCTAAAAATGTTTATGTTTGAATACTGAGCCAAGAAGTCCATGCAGCCACCTTAAATACCCTTTGAGTGGTCATTACACAGAATTAGACTTGATATAAAACATTTCATATTATATTGAACAGCAAATGCTAGATGAGTTTTTTATAAATATCTTTACAGAACACAGATAAAACCAGCCACTTTCAGTAAAACATAATTCTAATAAAAAGCAGTTATTTAAATACAAACATATTTAATATCAGCTACAAATATAAATGATATTTGAATTAAAGCATCCAAGTGGTTATAGTTTGATAAACTCAGGCAGAAAGAAAGCAGTTGTAAATTCTAGCTGACAGGTCAATAGAGGAAGCTTTCCCAACATTTCAACTGTAAGTCTGTTCTATCAGGGAGAGTACAACTTCGTCTATGTCAATGACTCTCAGAGTTGAGCAAGTATCAGAATTACCTGAAGGGCTTGTTAATAGGAAAGGCAGGCTTCATCCCTAGAGTTCCAACTCTTCTGGAACAGTCAGCTCATTTGCATTTTTAAGATTTCCGGGGGATGCTGATGTTGATCTGGTATCACTTTGAAAATCACTGGTCTAGACCATGGAATATCTCCATCCATCTGACTTTTGACCTTTGCCTTAGAAGATGGAGCTGGTATAAGCTTAGATCTGAACCTCTTTAATTTAGTACAAGTAAGCAGGTTTTCCTCCTAGTACATTTCAGAAACTTGGTGTATCTAAATTTCAAGTTGGAATTTAGATGGAATTATTAAAATGGAAATATTCTAGTTTCATGAAAATGCTGAATGTTACACATGAGCAGTTTCCTCATGAATGTGAATACTACTTGGGATTAGCAAAATAATAATAAGGAAAATTAGTCCATAAGAATCTTAATCAAATGGGTTTGATAGGAAAGAGTCTTATTGTGAAAATGGGCCTAGTAAAGATTAGACTCTTCCATGGGTATATTAGACTTCTACAGTCAGAAATCTCCCTTCAAGTTAGATCTTGGACACAGCATATGAGAGCTACCAAGTCCCAATTAATTAGCTAAAAAGATGGGCTGTTCAGAAACACCTTATTCCTAGTAGCTATTGCTTCCATTGGGAAGCCAGAGTATAACTTTTAGCACAAAGGCTGAAAGGAACAAGTCATCTACCTCAGGAAAAAAACAAATTTCCCAACCTGGACTTACTGAGAGACAAGACAAGAAAGCACTAATCACCAGGAAGGAGGAAGATCCGTGAAATGCCCAGTGCAGCCTCTTCTTGTACCTTCCTCTTCCCTAAGGCTTTCATTTAAAGGCCTGTTGTCTTTTACTTCCTCACCATTTCCTATCTCTATCCAAGTCAGTCCAGGGGCCACAGCCTATTGAACATTAACACTAACCAAGCAAGCAAAACCTCCTCCTAGTCCTCTGCCCATATTGCATAGAGCAGCAGCTTTCTGGCTACTCCTTGCCCCAAGTTATTCTATTTGTATATAGCAACAGCTTGTCCAGAGGTGCTCAATTTGGGCGCTGAGGCAGAATGACTTGGCATCTTGTTCATAAACAACTACTATCTACCTGCCCAGCACCATAAGGCACAGATTGGTAAGTGACTTATTTGTGATAATAAAAAAATTACTACCTGTAAGCTTATTAGACACACCAGACCAATGAATGATCCAACCACAGAATCCCACAATAGGTGAGCCCCTCAATCTGCAGCATGCATGCCAATCTGTCACTTTGCCATGGGCCACTCCAGTGTATCTGTCATGGCCTCTGCCCAGGAGACACACTTCTCACTGTTCCCTGACTCAGCTCAGTCTGATTCTTTCTGCCACTGACATCATCAATTTCAGAGTTGCCTGGATCCCTCAGCTCAGTATCTCCGAGGTTTGCTCTTAACCTGGTACCTGAACCAGCCCACCTACAGCAGCTCTTTGGCCCAGGCTGACTGCATCCACTCTTTCCGTTGATCTTTAGCTCCTACACACTATACCCTGTTCACAGATTTCCATCACCTATGTGTAATTATTTGAAGTGTGGTGTGTAATTGGAGTGTCATAGCTAATGTTAGGAATGGAATGGAAAACACAACTTGGAATTCCCACGGTTAGGGCTCCAAAGGAGAATACAGTACTTGGTGAAGAAGAGCTCATGAATCCATTAATAGATTCTCACGTAGAAAGATACAAGGTGCTAGTGTATGTTAATGGCATGGGTAGCTCAAAACATACTCACTGAAACAATCTTTCACTCTCATGGACAGTGATTTGCACAGTGAAGGAAGCTTATTTGCTCAGGCTGTGAGAGAAGTAAGCCTTTCTCAGTAAACTCGTGTATTGAAATTTCTACATTAGTTTCCTACTGCTGCTATAACAAGTTGCCACAAATTCTGTGGAATACAACAACACAAATGTATTCTCCAAGGTTCTAGATGTCAGAAATCAGAAATCCATCTCACTGAGCTAAAGTCTAGGTATTTTCAGGGCGGGGTCCTTTGGGAGGTTCTGGGGAGAGCACCAGTTTCCTTGTTTTGCTGTTTTTAAGCATCTAGTGACCATCCATCTGTATTGCTTAGTTTGAGGCCTTTCTTCCATACTTAAGGCGCATCACTCCAGCTTCTGCTATCACACTGTCCTGTGCTCTGATTTTTTTTTTCATTCTTGCAAGAACCATTTGGATTACAGGGGAGCCTTCCAGGATCCATGTGTCACAGAAATTAGTATCGCTTAGTTGTAGGATTTAGGACATAGTCTCTCTCTCCTCTCTCTCTCTCTCTCTCTCTCTCTCTCTCTCTCTCTCTCCTATTCAGTCTACCACATCTTTTTAAATGAAACTAACTCATAAACAGTTGACATAACCATCTGTTCTGGACAGAATGGCTGGATACTGAGATCTCTAGCAGAAGGGGCAAACATCTCACCAATTTACTTCGCACGAACTGAAAATGATACTCAACAACTTTTGATGGAAGGGGCTGTATTTATCTCTATGTAGGGAGCACTTCAGCTAATTCACACTGCATTCTCAATAAGCATGAGATGACCATATCATGTTAATGGAAAAACTCAAGTTGAGTTATTGGCCAAAGTAACTGAAGAAAATTAGAACCCACCACTTGATGGGATCATAAGCTCAAAGCCAGTTTGGGCTACATAGCAGGTTCTACTCCAGCAAGGGCTACATAGCAAGACAACGTCTAAACAAAGAAATAACCAAACAAAAAACCAACCTAAGATGAGGCCAAATCATGTGCTACTAAGAAAGATCAAGAAGAGAAAAAGAAAACTAACTCCCAAATAGGTTCTAAATATAAGAAATTCAGCTGTTTTATTGGTGGAGCTGAATGAAGACAGTGAGTGCCTCTGGGACCCATGGAGATAACAATAGGCCTGAATGGAATAGAGGTGCTTTTCTTTCCAGACCCTTCTATGTGATATCGACAAATACAACTTCACTTAAGGCTTAAACTAACAGAAAATGCCTAGTCACTGCTCCTGCATACGGCTGTATTTAGTGTGTGTGTATGTGTGCAAGTTCATATGTGGTTGCCATGGTAGTCATGGAGAGATCAGAGGAAAACTTTGGAGTCAGTTCTCTCCTTCTACCATGTGGGTCCTGGGGATTCAACTGAGGTCATCAGTTTTGGTGACAAAGTGGCTTTACCAGGTGAACTAGCTCACCAGCCTGTATAAAGGTTTAAAATGAAACTTTCAAATAAAATGGAGGCAAATTTTATAATAAGATGCACAGAACTTAGGTGTATGCTTCAATGAGGCTTCACATTTATCCTCGAGTCACAGAACATTCCATCACACAGACTGATGAGATCTCTGCGATAGTTCTGTGTGCACGCATACATTATGCACTGATCATGTCCACCCACCAATCTACCACCATGCACCCTCTTCTCTCCCCATTATCATTCTTTTGTAATTCTTCCTTTGTAGGAGACAGGCTTGAGTCTAGGGTGATATTGCAACTGTCAGGGTCCAGGAATCCTGGCTCTGTAATCTGAAACCCAGTATGCTAATGAGGCATTGTACCCTCTATTCTGTGATAGGACGTTGTCTGTTATGCTAATAGGATGCTAAGTCTGTTATGCTAATAAGGTATCCTACTTGCTGTGCTGTGATTGGACCACTACCCCTATATAAGCTTGTGCCTTCCTGCAATAAAGCAGACCTGTGTCACTGAACCTGGTCTCCTGTGTCTGAATGCGGCTCTGCTGACAGTTTCCTCACCAGCCCTGGGGCTGAGGACTGGGCAGAAGCAGTGGTGACAGGAGGCAGCACAGGGCAAGCAAAAGAGCTGCCTCAGCACCAGGCGAGCAGAAGAGCGGCCTCAGCCCAGGGCAAGCGGAGGAGCAGCCTCGATGCCCGTGAGAATGAAGGAGCGGCACCCATGTGAACAGAGGAGCGGCCGCCGCTGGCGGTGACCACACTCCTTTACCTTCAGGTTTATTTGTCTCTTTTTCTTTTAGTTTCCACATATGAGACAGAACATAGAATACTTGTCTTTCTGTGTTGTGTAACATGATGTCCTTCAATTCCATCTATTTTCCTGCAAATGACAGTATTTTCTTCTTTATAGCTGAATAATATTTATTGCACATAGCACCTGTACATGTATTTATTCTTTATCTATTCACCTGTTGATGGGCATGTAGGCTAATTCTATATCTTAGCTATTGTGAAAAGCACCACA